CAATACATATGTGTAGTTTTAGGCCTCTAAATTTTTGGCAATTTCTTACAGCAGCGGTGGGAAACTGATACACCAGTTAAGTATTAATAGGTTGGAAGCTCTCCAAAGCTTGGGATTTTTGCCCTCACTAGTAGACTCTACCAGTGCTTCTCAACCCTGGCCACATACTAGAATCACCTGAAGAATTTATAAAGCATACTGGTACTTGGGTACCACAGTAGGCTGATTAAATCAGAATTTCTCTTAGTGGGGACAGGGGACAGTTTTGGAAAGGTTCTCAGGTGATTCTAATGTGCAACCAGGTCTGAAAACCTGTGTACTAAGTGTAAAGATAGCATTGACCTAACCCAGTGGTTTTATCTGATTCCTGGACTATCAATATCACCTGGGATGTTGAAAATGCAAAATTTCCAGCCCCTTCCCAGACCTACTCAGTCTGAAACCTTGAGAATAGGGCCTAGCAATCTGTTATAACATTCCCCCTGATCCTTATCCCCATAAATTCTGAGGCATACTGAAGTTCGAGAACCATTAATCTAACCTTAATTCTCTATGAGGTTTGTGTTGTAAGAGTCTTTAAGAGTTAATATTGGCCTGGTGCGGTGGCTCACACCTGTAAACTTAGCACTCTGGGAGGCCGAGGCGGGCGGATTGCTCAAGGTAAGGAGTTGGAAACCAGCCTGAACAAGAGCGAGACCCCGTCTCTACTAAAAATAGAAATTAATTGGCCAACTGAAAATATATAGAAAAAATTAGCCAGGCATGGTGGCGCATGGCTATAGTCCCAGCTATTCAGGAGGCTGAGGCAGAAGGATTGCTTGAGCCCAGGAGTTTGAGGTTGCAGTGAGCTAGGCTGAAGCCACAGCACTCTAGCCAGGCAACAAAGTGAGACTCTGTCTCAAAAAAAAAAAAAAAGAGAGAGTTAATGTTATAGTAATGAGCCAGAAAAAAAAACTGGCCTCACTTTGTTGCCCAGGAATGAGGACAGTAGCAATGCGGTCACAGCTCACTGCAACCTCAAACTCCTGGGCTTAAGCAATCATCCTGCCTTAAACTCCAGAGTAGCTGGGAACTAGGACTACAGGCACACACCACCACACCTGGCTAATTTTTCCATTTTTTGTAGAAACAGTCTCCGTATGTTGCTCAGGCTGGTCTTGAACTCCTGACCTCAAGCAGTGCTTCCCACCTCGGCCTCCCAAAGTGCTAGAATTATAGGCATGAGCCACTGTGCCCAGCCCAGAAAAACTTCTAATATTCTCAAATATATTTACTTTCTTACTGTGCTATATAGAACTATAGTATTAATATTTGATGGTTAAAGATATGAATTGTACCTGTGTTATTTTAAACACCATGATTCTAGACATACAGACATAAAGCAGATGTAGGAGATGAAGCTGACCAAAGCAAACCTTTCAGAAGTAGGGTGGTCGCTCATACCTGTAATCTCAGCATTTTGGGAGGCCGAGGCAGGAGGATCACTTGAGGCCAGGAGTTCAAGACTAGCCTGGGCAACATAGTGAGACCCCATCTTAAAAAAAAAACACAAAAAAACCAAAACCCAGGGTGGTGTGTGCTATAGCCCTGTAGTCCCAGCTGCTCAGGAGTCTGAGATGGGCGGATTGCTTGAGCTCAGAAGTTCAAGGTTGCAGTGAGCTATGATCATGCCACTGCAGCCCAGCCTGGGCAATAGAGCAAGACACTGTCCCTATAAAAAAGTAGATATTTTAAATAAAATTCTCAAGTTCTTTTTTTTATTCTCTTAGTACAGAATGACTTGGAGGCACATACAAGAAATGTTTATCACATCAAAATGTGTGCAATTCACTATCATGAATCTTTGTCATGTAACATACAGGTAGAAAGCAGTGGTTTAAGTTTTCTTTAGTGCTAATTATTGGTAGAAACTTTTAGGTTGGTGTATTTTCTTTTCCTTGGTAAACAGTAAACACCAGGGGAAAATTATAAGCCATGTGAGGAATAGAGTTAATCAACAGTGTTATGGCTCATTCATCTGTATTTACTTAAAATTTTGCTTAAATAATTCTGGGCTAGGGAAAGCACCCCCCCCCACACACACACACACAGACAAAATACAATGAAATATAACAGATGAGATCTGAATTTTATTTACATCCATTTCCATTCAATATATCACATCCTCAGGATAGGCAGTAATTTACTTACAGGCTATGCCCATTCTCTTCAAGCTACGGGTAGAAGGCTCTCCCCAGAATAGCAGTAAGTTTGTTGATCTGAATGATTGAAGCCTTCAAGATAGGGTATAACTGCTGCAGGAATTTTTCCTTGGTTTGAAGAATTTAATCTGTTTAGCAGGAATTCTGTAACTTTCTATACCCTTGAAATACTATTCATGTAAAAATAAATTGTCTTGATGGTCATGCTGGAGAATCAGACTTGTAGGGGGAGGGGGAAAGGGCATTTATTGAAACCTTAAAATCTGTACTCCCATAATATGCTGAAATAAAAAAAAAAAAGAAAAAAAATAAATTGTCTTCTAGCCAGATACAGACTCAATTAGTTCTTCAAATACTTCAACCATGGCAGCATTTTATTTGAGAAATAATTATGAGACAGAATTGTTCAACTCATAACTTACACTTCACCTGCCAAACATAGTAACTTAAATTTCTTATAGAATGCATTATAGGAGAAAGCAGTGATACCAAGATGTCAAAAAAATTGCATTCAGAATATATCTTATTTTAATAGTTTTAAAATGGATATTAGCCTATAATTATGAGCAATAGTAACTTTTATGCCTCCTGTCTTATCTGATAATATATTCTGTATACTGACTGTATATTCTATATGGTAGAAGTTGCTAATTTTAATTTTTCTGCCAACAACAAGAGCGTACTTTTATTTATGGGAAAAGGATTGAAATACTCTAAAGATACTTTTTTTAAAAATCTAAAGTTCTTGATTTTCTCCCCAATAACAATTCTGCTTACTTTCTAAAAAGGTTTTTTCCTTTTATAAGATGCCTAGTAATCACCACTATTTTTTCCAGAAAAAAAGTAAATGCTGTGCTCTATATTATTATACAGTTTTGGTGATACTGTCGCTTATTTTTGATATCTTTAATATTTTTTACATCATGAGACATCAGTATCATCTTTCCTGATTGTCATCTAAAGGTGAGCTAATAATCTTTATTTGCCTTAAAAAATATTTTACTGGCTGGATATTTAATCTTGTTAAGTTTTGTTATACACTTGTTTTAATCTAGTTTAATTTAATTCAAAAGAATCCTAGCACTGTGGTGTAAAGCTCAGATTTTCTGGTCTAAATAAGTCAAGATCTCTACAAACTATTTGGCCAATCGAGTTGGAGGCATTCATTTTAACTTTATTGTTCTTTACTTAAACTATGTAGTCAGAAGCAATTTATCAAAACAAAAAATAAAGATGAAGGCATTTAAATGAACTACAAGTGATTCTGACTTGTAAACTAGGGAGGCCTCTTGTGTTAGACCTTAAAGGTCAGAGAAAAAGGTGAAGGCAGTTTGACTTAACCACTACCACCCAGATTATAGGTTCTATCATACTTCCTTTAATTCTCCCAGAATTGCTCTTAGAGCTAGGTGTCATCATTAGCACACTGTCACTAATGATATAAAAAAGAACATCTATGTAATCAGAAGTGGAAAGTCTTTGGAGGTTCCTTTAACTGGTTTAAAAAAGATTGGGAAAGAAGACTAAACCAACATGTTACTCCGCTTTGAAGGTAAAACCAGGAATGGTTCCATTTTGCATCTTACTAGACAAATCTAAAGCTTATAAGCAGATGAGACAGTATTACTGGTTCTACAGGGATTTGGAGCTACCTATGGACTACTGATATGTGTATAAATTTCCCCATTTATCACTAGAGTAACTAAGTGCCGTACAAACTGTCCTGGTATTCAGGTGCTACAATATCAGGAAAACAACCAGGCCAATCTCCATTCAACATCATTTCTTACTTTGTTTGAATACTGTTGATTGATTGATTGATAGGATCTTGCTTTGTCCCCCTGGCTGGAGTGCAGTGGCATCATCATAGATCATTACAACCTCAAACTCCTGGGCTCAAGCAATCTTCCTGCCTCAGTCTCCCAAGTAGCTGGGACTATAGGCAAGTGCCACCATGCCTGGCTAATTGAATACTAATCATTTGTATCAGTTTTCTTAAGTATTATTTAGCAGATCACACCAGCACAATGGTGCCTCCAGCTGGTCTTATTGTACAGAAGTTATAAATAGCATATACAGCCTTCCCCTGCCCCCTTCCCCATAAGCATTACGCATGTTACAGTCAGACAGTAACATTTCCCTATATATAGTGCACAGATACGTTAAAAACACTTAAGAATTATATAAAATCGTACATTACATGAAGTAGAACCATTAAGATTATCCTAAATATAAGTACAGAGAAAATGCATGCAGAATGAGCCCCATAAAGTACATAGCCTGTGGGATATATAATTTTATTTGTTTATACTTCCTCCAGGATAGTAGCATACATTGTTTCCTACCCAGAAGCAAAATATATTTTCCAAAAGTTTGGACACTGTCCACTGCATTAAGTTTAAATTAGAGTATGCAAACAAAGTTACAACACATTCCATTTTTTTTTTAATATATCAAATGTTTCCAGACTGGAGACCAGCCTACTTGTATGGCAAGAATGGAAAAACAAACACCACATGTACTCACTATTATTTTGGAACTAAATGATCAACGCTCATTTGTGCATATGGTAGTAAAATTCAATGGAGATCAAGCAGGTGGTGGCGGGGAGAGGAGGGATGGGTAAATTCACACCTAATGGGTACAATGTACACTATCTGCGTGACAGACACACATAACTTTGACTCAAACTGTACAAAAGTAATTCGTGTAACCAAATCGTTTGTACCCCTGTAATATTCTGAAATTAAAAAAAAAAAGTTTCCAAGGCAACATTATTAAAATGATTATACCACAGTCTCTAATGTAACATCAAGCTCTAATTGGAAGATACAGAAAGGGCAGAAAGGTTTCGTCCAGTCAGTGATTCAGGTGCTCTTCTTTTCTTCACCCAGTAAGTTCACGGTAGCTTTCTTGGCTGTTAGGAAGGAAAGAAAAACATATCAAAGCTCTTTGCAATACAAACTCTGTGCCTAAATGTAGCTACCAGATAACAAAACTTGGATGACTCATGCTCAGGTGAGAGCACTGAGGGGCTAAGAGGGTTTCTAGGAGGTGGACAAGGTACCTCTTTCAGAGCACAAATCCTGAATACTTGAACAACATTTTTCAAGGTCATCTAGCCTAGCCCTTTGTTGTGACAGCATCACCTTAACTATCTACCCTCTGTCCTCCTTTAAGCATCGAAAGCAGCAGAGATTCCTTAGGAGGAGTGCTCCTTTGTATAACTAACTTCTTGTTTGTATCTGGGTGCTTGACTGTAAGATTTCACTACGTATCAATCTAGTGACAACCAGGTTATCATCTTTATCCCATGGTGACAAAAATCAGAGAAAGTCCTCATTCTCAGCACCAGAAATACATCCGTATCTGTGCTGGGGGGAGGCACTGGTTCCAGGACCACTACAGATACCCAAACCCTCGAGTGCTCAAGCCCCTCATATAAAATGGTGTAGTATTTGCATATAACCTGTGCACATCCTCCCATATACTTTAAATCATCTTTAGATTACTTATAATTCCTAATACAATGTGAATGCCATGTAAATAGTTGTTATACTATATATATAAACATATACATATACATATACATATATATATATATATATAGAGAGAGAGAGAGAGAGAGAGAGGGTCTTGCTCTGTTGCCCAGGCTGGAGTGCAGTGGTATAATCACAGCTCACTGTACCCTCAAACTCCTGGGCTCAAGTGATCCTCCTGACTCAGCCTCACAAAGTGCTGGGATTATAGGCGTGAGCCTTGTATTTTTTTTTATTTTTGTTTTTTTCCAAATACTTTCAATCTGTGGTTGGTTGAATCTGCAGGCGCAGAGCCTGAGGATATGGAATGCCAATTATACTCTCGTTGCGCCACCATTCCCTACGATGGGAAGAGTTTGCTGCAAGTCTTCAAGTTAGTGGCAAGATAACTACATTCATCAAGGAAATACTCTTACATCTGTGAGAGACTAAGCCTTCCTCTAATTACCAAGTGGCTGGGAATGTGCCATCAGAACTAGTGTGGTGTGTGAGATGGAGGGGAAGAGGTGGTCTGGGTGCCTCCAGGGCCTCCTATAAAATTCTACAAACTGCAATGATTGGTTGGTTGGTTGGTTGGTTTATTTCTGTATACACATACACACACACACACTGGGATAGAATGTAGTGGCATCATCACAGCTCACTGCAACCTCAAACTCCTGGGCTCAAGTGATTCTCCTGCCTCAGCCTCGCGAGTAGGTGGGACTGTAGACGCGTGCCACCATGGCCAGTTAATTTATTTTCTATTTTTTGTAGAGCCCAGTCTCGCTCTAGGCTCAGGCTGGTCTCGAACTCCTGGCCTCAAGCAGTCCTCCCACCTTGGCCTCCCCGAGTACTAGGATCACAGGCGTGAGACGTCACACCCAGCCTGCGGTGGTTTTTGTTGCAGCTTAGAGTCTTAGTGACAAGAGCCAAGGAGTCCCTCCTTGTCCACCAGCTGCCTGACTGTTGCTCTCCCTTCACGCAATTAAAATTGCTGAACAGAGTTAACAACAAAGAAGAAATTGCAGTCTGTCTCTCTTACCTAACCCAATGTAAAAATTCCTAGTGAATCCAAAAGCTTTGAGAAAAGTCCAAAATGTGTCAAAGCATGTAAAGTCCTCATTATTTTAATTCTCATGGCCCTGTTTAAGAAGGTATCATATCAAAGTAAAATTGGAGTTTGGAGTATTGATATCTAAGAGAATCAAGAGGGTAAGAAATGTGGGTGAACTAGACAGAAATGGCATCCCCAGAGGTTGCTGGCTAGGCTAAGGGCAGGGAGGAACAGGGCAGCTCTTGGAAAGAAACTGGCGATCCTAAGGTGGGAGGGTGTGAAAGCTATAAGTTAAAAAAAAAACACTTAAAACTGTAGAAAAACATAGGAGTCCAGAGGAGAGAGAGGTCTGTGAGGGAGAAATGGGGGAATGTATCACCTCTGGGTGTCAACGCTGCTGGAGAAACTGTCTTGGTGGGATCTTACTTCCTAGTGGTTGGGACACCTCTCATCTCCCATGTTCTACCTACCACAGGGCTCTTTACAAATTTCCATATTCTGTATCCACTGCTCACCTTTTTCCAATTTCTAAAACTCTCTGGAAGACCTTCATTAGCAAAACCATTATCATCATCCATTCCTCCAAGTGTCTCCTTTACCTTATTGCTCTTAGAGAAATCTGGCTGGCCCACTGAGGGCATTGCTTTCTCAAGTGGTGGCTGTTTTTTTTTTTTCTCCCATGCCCCCAGTACCACTGGGTCTGGAAGTCTGGTAGATGCTGTCTTTGTTCTTCATTGCCACTTTCAGAATCTTACGTCATCAGATTTGATCACTCAGCAGCCTTCCCTTTCCCAGTCATCTCTAACTCATGAGCTACTCTGCCTCATTTCTTGAACATTTCGGCTATGAACTTAATGTCATTCTCCAACACAACTCCTATTTTAATTATTGGTGATTTTAATATCCACGTATTTAATCCTTCTAATATCCCTGCCCTCCAATATCCTTTCTGTTCCAACATCTGTTCCAACATCTGTTCCAACCCTATGGCAATCACTCCCATGATCCTTGTCACTACCAACAGCTGGCAGTCCCTCTATAATCTTGCATCAAACATCTCCACTCACCCACCATCACCTTTTATCGTAGTAGTTCCCTCCTTCTATTATCCTGATTCAGAGTACTTCCCCACCACTTCCCTCCTTATCTTTACCCAGGTTAAATTCTACCCCCCTCCTCCAAGACAGAGTCTCACTCTGTTGCCCAGGCTAGAGTGCCATGGCGTCAGCCTAGCTCACAGCAACCTCAAGCTCCTGGGCTCAAGCAATCCTCCTGCCCCAGCCTCCTGAGTAGCTGGGGATATAGGCATGCACCTCCATGCCCAGCTAATTTCTTTCTATTTTCAGTAGAGACGGGGTCTCACTCTTGTTCGTGCTGGTCTCAAACTCCTGACCTCAAGCAATCCCCCCACCTCAGCCTCCCAGAGTGCTACGATTACAGGTGTGAGCCACCACACCTGGCCAGGTTGAATTCTACGTCAAACATTAACCACTCCACTCCTCAGTCCCATTCTCACTTCACAGTTCTTGCTGAAAATCACAACCTTGACACAAGTCTCCACCTACTCTGCAGCTGTACCCATGCAGCTGTATGTGGCTGGAGAAAAAAAGATGCAAACAAGAACTGGCCTCACTTTTGAAATTCATGAACACAAATCTCAAGTGAGCCTTGAATACTGCCTGGCGATCACATGATACTGTCTCAGGCCATTTACTCCCCCACTGTTCCAGAGGGGCCAGCAAACTGCAGCCACACCCATTATGTGCCCCCACAGTCACAGGTAGCCACCTGCCAGCCTCTCTACCTATACACCTTAATTTTCTTCCTGTTATCATAAACTTCCAACTCCTCTGAACAAACCCTCTGTTTCTACACTAGATCCTGCCTCTGCTGCACTCAAGGACAAAGCTCCAGCAATTCACCCTGTCACTCCTATCATCACTTTTTGCTCTCCATGGGATTATTCCCATTAATTTTCAAACAGGCATTTTTTTAAAGGACCCTAGTTCCTCCTTGCAGTTACAGTCCCATTCTACTCCCTTTTGGAGGACATTTCCCAAAAGAATTGTCTATATTCTCTCATTTCTTTTCTCCTATTCTCTCAAATCCATTCCTGTCAGGTGTTGGTTCCCACAAAATCTGTTCTCCACAAAATCTGTTTTGTCAAAATCACTAGTGCCTTCCTCATTGCTAAATCCAATGGTCAGTTCTCAGTCCTTATCTTACTTGACTTGTCTGCAGAATGTGACACAATGGATCACATCCTCCTCTTTGAAACAGTTCTTTACTTGGCCCCAAGGATACCTCACTCTCATGGTTTTCTTGCTACCTCAGAAGACTACTCCTCATCAGTCCACTTTGCTGGTTGCTTCTCATCTTCCCAGTCTCTGAACATGACAGTCCCCAGGGTTCAGTCTTGAGACCTTCCCTTTCCTAACCACACTCACTCCCTTAGTGATCTCATCCGGTCTCATGCTTAATACACTGTTTATAGGCTGGTGAACCCTTAATTTATATTGCTAGTCCAGACCTATTTCATGAACTCTTGACATCTGTATCCAACTGGCTATTTAAATATTCCATGTAGTAGGCATCTAACACCTCAAACTTATATCCAGAAGTGAATTCTGTATCTTCCCCCCAGAATTTGCTCTACCCAGTCTTCCCCAGCTCAAATGGCAATTCTATCCTTTCATTTGTTCAGGTTAAAAAGCTTGACTCTTAGACTCCGTGCCCAATCCATAAGCAAATCCTATTGGTTCTACCTTTGAAATACATCCAAAATCTGATCCTTCTTACCCCCTACTGCTACGACTATGAGCCAAGCCACTGTCATCATCTCTAGCCAGATCACTGCAGTAACCTTTTCCCTGGTCTCCCAACTTCCTCCCCTGTCCCCATTCAGTCTATTCTTAATACAGTGGACACAGTCATCTTATTAAAACACAGAACAGATCATGTTGCTCCTCTGCTCAGAATTCCCCAGCAGGACCTCATCTCACTCAGAGTAAAAGCCAAAGCCAAGGCATTCTGTGATCTGTCTTCCAGCCTCACCCCCAACCTCTCTGACCTTGTCTCCTCCTCCTATCCCTGGAGATCACTTCCTCTGTTGCTTCCACCTTAGGGCTTCCACACATGCAGCTCCTTCTAGAACATTTTCCCCCATGGTTCCTTCTTCTGCCACTTTCAAGTCTGGTTCAGGGCAGGCTTCTTGGTGAGGAGTTCCTAAATTTCTCTATTTAAAATTGTAACCATCCCTTCAGTCCCTAGCTCTATCTCTCTACTTGCTTCATTTTTCCCTATATCATCTGCTAAATGTACCATATAACTTTTAAATTTTATTGTCTATCTCTCAACTAGACTGTAAGCTTCATTAGTTCAAGGAGTATGGAGTGTGGCCTTTTGGTTCACTGCCAGTTCTACAAGCATGGTTGGCACGTATTAAACACCTCGATAAATAAATATTTGTTGAATAAACAAATCAGGAGCTGAGAAAGACAGCATTCTTTTGGACCCATAAACTTTGAACAGCACACTAAACAGGTCAGCCTAAACTGAACTAGAAGAGATTGTACTTGTAAAATATAGAGGATTCTCTGAAATCTCTGCCTACCAAGGGAAGTCATTTTTCCTAGCATGCTGACTAAATACTGCATTCAATATGGCATGGAGGAAGACTCTTGGGAAAAGTAAAGGGCAATAGGCAAAGTCTTTGTAAAGAAATCCCTGAGAAGGCCAGGCGCTGTGGCTCACGCCTATAATCCTAGCACTCTGGGAGGCTGAGGCGGGTGGATTGCTCCAGGTCAGGAGCAAGAGCGAGACCCCGTCTCTACCATAAATAGAAAGAAATTAATTGCCCAACTAATATATATAGAAAAACACAGCCAGGCATGGTGGCGCATGCCTGTAGTCCCAGCTACTCAGGAAGCTGAGGCAGTAGGATCGCTTGAGCTCAGGAGTTTGAGGTTGCTGTGAGCTAGGCTGACACCAGGGCACTCACTCTAGCCTGGGCAACAAAGTGAGACTCTGTCTCAAAAAAAAAAAAAAAAAAGAAAGAAAGAAATCCCACAGTAGCTTTGGCATTTGGCTGGGGAAAGCTGATAGGACAAGAAGGCCACGAGCCTGTTATTTGAGCCCAGTGTATCACATCTCCTCCCATGTGTTTAACCGAGGTGTCCCTGAGTCTTACCTTCTTTAGTGATGGCATCTGCAGTCTCTTTGGCTTTGTCTTTCAGGTCCTTAACCACACTGTCCAGCTGGGACTCATGCTTCAGGAAGAAGGGACGGATGATGCGCCTGTAGAGCAGTTCTGCCCCGTTAGAAGGGCTCGGGGCCATGCACCACAGCAGGAAGCCACACTGCACAGAATAAGAGCCAGCATTGTAACAGAAGGGTGGGGCGCTCTGAGAACACACATCGCCCACCACTACCCTAGGAACTGGTCATGCTATAAGAACTGTCGCATTATTTATATAACAAAAATTTTTACTGTTTATTCAACTAATAAATATAAACTCAACACTTTAAGTCATCTAAGTAACTTAATCCTCTCTAAGGTAAAGAGCAAAAAAGGGAATATTCAGAGTGATTTGCTCATTTCCCTAGAAAGTTTAATAAACAATATACTGGGTTGTTTTAGTTTAAAAGATTCTAACCCTATGGTATTCCATACAGCGTAGGTGACTCTGCATAAAACAGAAGTCACTTCCAGGGATCCCAAATCTGTATTACCATTATCATTATTATTTTTACAACTTCTCCTTAAAGTAAAAATCTCTCAACTTTTTTTTTTTTCCTTGAGACACCCGGCTAGAGTACAGTGGCGTCATCACAGCTCACTGCAACCTCCAACTCCTAGGCTCAAGCAATCCTCCTGCCTCAGCCTTCCAGAATGCTAGGCAGGATTAACAGGTACGAGCCACCATGCCGGCCTCTCAACTACTTAAGCCTGAAAATGAACTCTACAGCCTTAGTCCTTCTTATTCTAAACCAAGGAATGTAGTCAAATAATCAAGAAGCTATGTTGTCTTTCTTAAGATAGTCTTTTAAGTTTGCTCTAGAGATGGAAAGCTGATAAGGGACTAACACTAGTGACACACAGTTTGAGCTTAAAATGCACAAATAGCTCACTCCACCAGCACCATGTTAGGTCTGAGAAATTTACATTATATTTTCAAATGGTATTACACTCAAAATATAGAACAAAACTCAGTTTCTCAACAGATTAATCTCTCTGGATTAACTCAATTACAGGACTCTGAAAAAGTAACATTTATGAATTTACTTTGATTTGTTACAGACACATGACAGCTTTTAAAAGACAGAGACTATCAAACTAAATTTTTTAAAAACCCAAAACTATAGCTATATGCTTAAAAAAAATCAAAACACCCAAAACTAAACCAATTAGGAACACTGAAAATAAAGTTATAGAAAAGATGTATCAAACACCAACTCTCAAAATAGCTCATATAGCAACATTAATACATAAACATTACCTAAGGCAAAATAAAGAAATAGAATGATACAGGAAAATAATTTACCAAGAATATTAAAATTCTTGAACTTATATATAACACCATTGAAATACGTAATTTATATATAGCTTTATATATATTTGTAATTTTATATTTTATTTTTATAATGATATATAGCTACAGATAGCTTTGAAATATGTAAATTTAAAAGTCATAATTATATAAATAGACAAGATCCACAATCATAGATTTTAATACTTCCATAAGAAAGATGTATCAATCTAGAAATTAGTCAGAAAACAGAACAAAGAACACAAAACTTAAAATCCTGACCTAAAGATAGATACAGATCTCTCCACCCAACAAACAAGGATTCTAAGAGTTAGTATATTATCCAGAGGGTAAGAGGATGGGCTCAGAGAAACTAAGCTCCAATTCTGGTTCTGCCACTAAGTTAGCTGGGCAAACCTTGTACAAGTTACCTAATTGCTTAAAGTCTGTTTTCCCCTCTATAAAATAGGTATTAATTGAAAACTTTAAAAATCTACCTATATAATTTTGTAAGAAAATAAAAGCATTTGGAGTATCGAGCATAGTAAGGGATTTGACTCTGTCCCAAGAATACTGTGTCTTCTACCAACATCTATGAAACAGTAACAGACTAATTTATTAGCTTTAAGTAGAGTAAAAAAAATCTCAGAACCAACTATATATACACACACACACACACACACACACATATATATAGAGAGAGAGTTAGTTGTTTTTTGTTCTTTTTAGAGACAGAGTCTCATTCTGTTGCCCAGGCTTGAGTGCAGTGGCATGATCATAGCTCACTGTAATCTCAAACTCCTGGGCTCAGGCGATTCTCCCACCTCAACCTCTTAAGTAGCTAAGACTATAGGCCTATATGTTTTGTAGAGATGGGGCCTCGCTATGTTGCCCAAGCTGTTCTTGAACTCCTGGCCTCAAGTGATCCTCTGCCCCAGCCTCCCAAAATTCTGGGATTGCAGGAATGAGCCACTAAGCCAGCCAGAACTAACAATATTTAAACAAATGTTTTGGAACTCTTCTTTTACTAACTGAAATGAAATTCAAAGTAATGATATACTTACGTAATTACGAAAAAAATCAATATACTACTAACAGCAATATAAAAGAGAAATAAAATGAAAGTAATTAATAATAAAATATATAGATGTAGATATACAAACAAAACTATACTAGAAACACCATAAAAGACTCATAAGTAGAACCAGTGACTGACTGCAACAGCTACAAATAAAATCCTCCACATCTTCCCAAAAGGTTGAGAATTTTCGGACTGGAGGAACTACACAGCGTGCTTCTATATCAAAGCACTCAATTTAACACAGTTACTGCCGTAATCTCCAAGTTTCGATTTTAAGGCAGCCCTCCCTTCACTTTCCCACCCCTCACATCTAACAGACTCCAAAGCTCATTTCCTGAGTGCAGATCCTGGAATACAGGATGTTCAGGGTTAGGAAAGGAAAGGAAGGGAAAGAAAGCATGACAGTGGGAGACGGGAGGGTAAAGATTCAGACGAGCATGGAGCAGCCTCATGACACACGTACAGGAATGCCATGTGCAAGAATACACAGCCACGCACAAACTCGTGCACACACACAGTGGCAGACTGACACCTTCTGCCAAGTAGGTCCAAGTGCTCGAACAAAGTCAATGCCTTGAGATACCCTCAGTATTCGGGGGTAGTTCCATGTTTACTGCTAGTTTCCCCAGCTACTCTGCTCTGCCATCCCCTGGGGCTGGCCAGCAGCAGATCTTAGTGAATTAAACGATGTTGTCAGAGACAACATTGGTTTTCTGAGCTACACATCTGCATCAACCCAAAATGGAGAACGAAATGACTGCATTTTTCACTGGCTCTAGAGTTCATTTCCTTGGCTTAATGCCAGGTTAATTACAACAGCCCCTGCAGACCACCACCTCTCTAGTTAATATTTCCCTGTGGAAGCTTTTTGGTTTTTAATATCCAAACTTCATACAGTGTAGTTTTTCTGGTGGTTGCTTACATAGGAAACACTAATATATACATACCCCAAACTCAGTACAATATTTTAAACTAAATGATGTACAAGAAATGTCTTGAGTTACTTGTTTGACAGAAAGAATATCAGAGTCCCTTGTGGGCATTTTGAATGGTATGCGGAGTATCAAAGGGGATGTGCTGTGTACTACTGCACACAATGCAATAGTTTCTTACTATATTAACTATTTGTAGAGCAGGAAGTGTTTTTAGCATCTAACATCCTAATGATGTTAGGATGTTAGGATAACATCCTAATATGATATTTGTTATATGTAGGTACTTTGCTGTGTTTTGCTAATAGTTAGGAAGTCAGTTCGGAGTTTTTGATTGACATGTAATACATTTTAATTTTTCCCATTTAAAATGGAGGAAAATAAGCACCTGGCTGATATTCTTACACAGAATGTCTGATTTTCAAGAATGGATTATTGATAGAGAGACAGATGCCCATGTTATAACCACAGGCATCACGATGAAGTGGAAATGACTCACTGGATTAAGAATCAGGAGAGATGGGGTCTATTTTATGACTGTAGGCAAATCAACTTCTCTAAGAGACAATTTTCTCTCCTGCAGGGCTTTAGGAATTAAATTTATGTACTTGAATAAAGTATACAAGATAGTGGTAGTATTACCAAATCCTAAAGTTCTTATTGGTTGTTGAAAATCTCTGAAATATTATCTGCCCATATAAATTCCAACCTTTCAGCAATCCAGATAAACTGATTGTCTTTTCTGGATGAATTAAGTTGTATCTACATTTTTGTACCTCTTCAATGTGATTACTGTCTAGGCTGCACTCCAGAATCTTAATTTACTACTTTCCAGTGCCCTCCAGCTATTGTCCTGAGACAGTAAAATAATTACTGCTTTCAACCTAAATCCTGAGCATTTTCCAGTTCTTAAATGAAATCGTTTTCTTATATTAAAAATAAAGTTAATTACTTTTCAACTCTCAAGGTGATATTCAGCTGCCAATTTTTACAACTCAATCTTCTTAATCTATGTAACTACTCTACAGCCCAGGAATAGCGAGTTTTATTACAATGACCTACACGGATCTGGCCATCCTTTTAACCAATCTGCCCTCAAAGTGCCAGCTGGGATGATACTCCCAAGGGCAACCACAAACCCGCTTTTACCTGCAGTTCAGACAAAGAGGCCGTGCTATTTTAACCGGACGACTGGCACTATTAGCACTGACACACTGACTCCTTAAATTACAAATTACAGCAGGCCAGATAATTCTGTGATTCTAATGCTATCACCATCTAATAATTTTCCTCCAGAAGTATTTCCAAGGTAGAGATATACTTAACATTGCAGTTCAGGGACTGGCATGGTCAGAACTGAGAGTTAATGTCAAAAATATATATATTACAGCACTGACTTCCTCGTATGCTGCAATGACTTGATCAGAAAGGTTAAGTCTTAGCCTTTCCAGTGTAGCCACAAGTATAGTGATGGGCCAGATTTGTGTGCTCAGCATGCACAAAAAAAATGTAAAACAGAGTATGTTAGGGAAAGATTTCCCTATCTTTTTGGCCTCATAGAAAGATTATAACAAATGTTACACTGTCAATGGGTAAAACAGCACAGGTGGCAATCTGGATCAGGACTTAAACTTACCACAGTTTACTCAGCTTTGTTCTAAAAATAAATCTAGAAAATGATTTATACAAAGGTAAATATGAGGTACAAAGATATTAAATGCAGCATTATTTGCAATAGCAAGACTAGTGTTCTAAATATCTCTCAACTGGAAAATGGGTAAATTATTACCTATAATAGATTAGATAGAGGTGTCAAA